CCAGGCTAGATGAGTGCCCGTGGCATCACCTTGCTCACAGCAACCTCAAACTCCTGGGCTCAGCAATCCTGCTGCCTCAGCTTCCGAGTAAGCTGGGACTACAGGCATGCGCACCATGCCCGGCTAAATTTTTGTATATATATATTAGTGGTCAATTAATTTCTCTCTATTTATATAGAGACGGGATCTCACTCTTGCTCAGGCTGGTTTTAAACTCCTGACCTCAAGCAATTTGCCCGGCTAGGATTACAGGCGTGAGCCACCGCGCCGGGCCTAAACTTTAATTTTTTAAAAATTTATTTTTATTTATTTTTTAAAAGCCAAATTTAGCAGTGAGGGGTTGAATATCAACTTTAGTGACACTAATGTTAATAAGTTCTGATAACCCACTACCATTGGACCAGCCTAAACTTTAATTTTATTTAAAAATTATTCTCAAGAAGTCTTTTAGGCTTATTTAAACAAAGGTTTGTGGGCTGTTTTTTTAAAAAAATCAAGTATCATTCACACATACAAAAAAATGAAAACCAGCCTTTCTGCCTGAGTACGCTCCTGAGGAAGCATTGTTAAAGTCTCTCTTCTCAATGCCTCATGTCTAAGTCAGAGTCTCCTAAAGAACTCACATAGCTGCGGAAGCTATTCATGGGGTGGGGGCTGGGGGTTAAACTTTGAAACTATGACAGATGAGAGTCTAAGGAGCCATTTTGAGCAATGCGGAACGCTCATGGACTGTGCGGTAATGAGAGATCCAAACACCAAGCGCTCCAGGGGCTTGGGGTTTGTCACATATGGTTTGTCACTGTGGAGGAGGTGGATGCAGCAATGAATGCATGCCACACAAGGTGCATGGAAGAGTTGTGGATCCAAAGAGAGCTGTCTCCAGAGAAGAGTCTCAAATACCAGGTGCTCACTTAACTGTGAAAAAGATTTTTGTTGGTGGCATTAAAGAAGATACTGAAGAACATCACCTAAGAGACTTTTTGAACAGCATGGGAAAAGTGAAGTGCTTGAAATCATGACTGACAGAGGCAGTGGCAAGAAGAGGCACTTTTCTTTTATAACCTTTGATGACCATGATTCTGTGGATAAGACTGTCATTCAAAAACACCATACTGTGAATGGCCACGACTGTGAAGTAAGAAAAGCCCTGTCGAAGCAAGAGATGGCTAGTGCTTCATCCAGCCAAAGAGGTTGAAGTGGTTCTGGAAACTTTGGTAGAGATCATAAAGGTGGTTTTGGGAATGACAACTTTGGCCATGGAGGAAACTTCAGTGGTCGAGGTGGCTTTGGTGGCAGCCGTGGTGGTGGTGGATATGGTGGCAGTGGAGACAGGTACAATGGATTCGGTAATTATGGAAACAGCTTTGGAGGTGGTGGAAGCTAAAATGATTTTGGCAATTACAACAATCAGTCTTCCGATTTGGACCCATGAAGGGAGGAAATTTTGGAGGCAGAAGCTCTGGCCCCTGTGGTGGTGTAGGCCAATACTATGCCAAACCACGAAACCAAGGTGGCTACGGTGGTTTCAGTAGTAGCAGTAGCTATGGCAGTGGCAGAAGGTTTTAATTACTGCCAGGAAACAAAGCTTAGCAGAAGAGGAGAGCCAGAGAAGTGGCAGGGAAGCTACAGGTTACAACAGATTTGTGAACTCAGCCAAGCACAGTGGTGGCAGGGCCTAGCTGCTATAAAGAAGACATGTTTTAGACAATACTCATGTGTATGGGCAAAAAACTTGAGGACTGTATTTGTGACTGACTGTGTAACAGGTTATTTTAGTTTCTGTCCTGTAGAAAGTGTAAAGTATTCCAATGAAGGGTTTTAATGTAGATTTTTTTTTTTTGCACCCATGCTATTGATTGCTAAATGTAATAGTCTGATCATGATGCTGAATAAACGTGTCTTTTTTTTTTTTTTTTTTTTTTTGAGACAGAATCTCACTTTGTTGCCCGGGCTAGAATGCCATGGTGTCAGCCTAGCTCACAGCAACCTCCAATTCCTGGGCTCAAGCAATCCTTCTGCCTCAACCTCTCGAGTAGCTGGGACTACAGGCAAATGCCACCATGCCCAGCTACTTTTTTCTATATATTTTTAGTTAGCCAATTGATTTGTTTCTATTTTTAGTAGAGATGGGGTCTCGCTCTTGCTCAGGCTGGTTTCGAACTCCTGACCTCAAGCAATCCACCCGCCTTGGCCTCCCAAAGTACTAGGATTACAGGTGAGCCACCACGCCCAGCCGCGCTCATGCTTTTTCAGCCAAACCTCGCTGAACAGCAGTTGTACTACAACCCTGTGGAGCTATTTTAGCATCTGTCATCACCCTGTTCAGTACACCCCACTCTCTCTTGCTAAAAGCTGGAAAGGTCTCCAGAATCCTGAACACACTGAACCAAGATTTAAAATACCCAGGCACGAGGTGCCCTCTGGTAGCAATGCCTGGGCAGAGCTGTGGCTGGTGATCCCAGCTTCTTCATGCTGGTTCAGATAAGCAACATGCAAAACAGTGGCTAAGAGTCTGACTTAGACTGACCCATCAGGACAAGTCAGGGTGGAAAGACACAGTGACATCACAACCCCTAAGCTGTGGTGCCCTGACACAGACTCAGGACTTCTGAGTAAGTCTTGTCAAAATGCACAACCTTAGTCCAATTCTGACAATACATCACACAAACACAAAAGGATGGACATTTGACAACAAAATTGTTCCATATTCCTCAAAAGCATCAAGGTCATGAAAGGCCAGGGGAAACTGAGGCACCATTATAGACTATAATGAGGAAGACACAACAATAAATGAATGCTGGGTCCTGGAACACAAGGAGGAATTAGTGGAATTTGAGTTTAGTTTGTAGTATCACAACCAATATTAATTTCCTGGTTTTTATCACAGTAGACATAGTATCATAGCATGGTGACATAAGGGAAAACTGGATAAGCTATAAAAAAATTCTTTATACTGTTTTTGTAACTTTTTTCTAAGTTTAAAATTAGTTCAAAATAAAGTTGTGTTTTTTTCAAACAAGGCTGCACATCTGGGTTTGAGTCCCACCCTCCACTATGGACATGCCATCCCCAGGAAATGATACACCCTCTCTAAGCCCCAGTTTCCTCATCCACAAAAGAGAATTGATATTTTTATTTAATATTCATTCATTCATTCATTCATTCATTCATTCATTCATTCATTCATTCATTTTTTTGAGACACAGTCTCACTCTGCTGCCCAGGCTAGAGTGCCGTGGCATCAGCCTAGCTCACAGCAACCTCAAACTCCTGGGCTCAAGCAATCCTTCTGCCTCAGCCTCACAAGTAGCTGGGACTATAGGCATGAGCCACCATGCCCGGCTAATTTTTTCTATATATTTTTAGTTGGCCAACTAATTTCTTTCTAGTTTTAGTAGAGATGGGATCCTGCTCTTACTCAGGCTGGTTTCAAACTCCTGATCTTGAGCGATCCCTCCTGCCTCAGCCTCCCAGAGTGCTGGGATTACAGGCGTCAGCCACTGCATCTGGCCGATATTTTCATTTTAACATGAGAATAAAAATACTGTTGAATGTTGTGGCTGACACCTGTCATCCCAGCATTCTGGGAGGCTGAGGTGAGAGGATCATTAGAGGCCAGGAGTTCAAGACCAGCCTTGGCAACACAGTGAGAATCCATCTCTACAAAAATAAAAATAAAAAAAATTAGCCAGGTGTGGTGGCGCACATCTATAGTACCACCAACTTGGGAGGCTGAGGCAGAAGGATTGCTTGAGCCCAGGAGTTCAAGGCTAAAGTGAGCTATGATCACTCCACTGCACTCCAGCCTGGGTGACAGAGCAGAACCTGTCTCAAGAAAAAAGGAAAAAATGTATTGGGGCATGCAGAAAGAAATCTGGAGCAATATATATCAGAATGTTAGCTATGGTCCTCTCTGGGTCTGCAGCAGACTAACTTCCATCTGCACATTTAGTTCTCTAATTTGTTAATAATGTTTACTAGCTTTGCAATCAGGAATAAAAACATGTTAAAAGGGATTTGAAGCACATACACACTGTTGTGTGGCCACATCTGACTGCAGCCCATCTTGTTGACTCCACTGCCTAATACCCCAGAATCTGCCTCTTCTCCCCTCCTCTATGCCACCAGCCATGCGTCACCACAGAGCCTCGCTTGGCTGGGTTCCCTGCCAGTCTCTTCTCCATGAGGCAGCAGAATGATCCTGTTGGTACGTAGATCCCATCAAATCATTCATCTGTTAGCCCCCCAGATGCCCACACAATGGCCATAAAGACCCCACTCCTTGGGCCATACCCCTCTGGCCTCCTCCCCACCCCAACCCAGGCTCACTTCCTTGGGTGTTCCCTGTGGATCCTGCCCCTCCCAGGCTGAGAATCTGCAGTGCCCCATCCCCAGGGTGATCTCTCCAGCCACCCTGGCTCCCACTGCCAACTACCGCTGGGCTCCTCCTCAGCACTGACAGCTCACACACTAAGTGTCCTCTGTCTCCTGCATAGGACTGTGGGCCTCAGGAAGGCAGGCTCTGCCTCGGCATGTGGGGCCCAGGTAAGATGTGGGCACGATGGTCCAGGCAGCAGGATGACCTGCAGACAGCACATCCCAGCAGCGCACCAGCCATGCCTAGGCAGGGTGGTCAAGGCAGCCCCCCAGGCTTCTCTTTCCCTTTGGTGGCACTGTTCTCTGAGGTTCCACCAATGGGATGATGGGGGTGTGAAGGGCAAAGGAAGGCTTGCTATTCTTTTAACTTAATGAAGGAAACTGAAGGTGTGATAAGATAAATGATTTGCCAGGGTCTGAGACCAGGGCGTGTCCACCTCAGCACCAGTGACATTCGGGGCTGATCATTCTGTCACAGGAGGGAAGGCTGTCCTGTGCACTGTAGGGTGTTGAACAGCATCTCTGGCCTTTGTTCACTAGATACAGTAGCAACCCCTAGCCCCCCAGTTTTTATTACCCCAAATATCCCAGGTTATTGCTTAAGTGTTCCTGGCGCAGGGATAAAATCACCCCAGCTGATAACCCCAGTCCTAGAGCATAAGTAAAGAACTGCAAAGGAAAGAGCCAGAGCCTGGAGAGGTGACTAGACTCAACTACACAAGAAGCATCATTAGAACTGTGGCCTCAGTAGGGAGGCCAGCTTACCACACTAACCCTTGCTCACAATGGGGATTAATTTCCCAAATCCTGGGAGGCTGTCACCACAGGGTGAAGCAGCAGGCCCTCAGAGAAGCCCCATGCACAGCTCTTTTCACTAGAGATTTGAAAGGCCCCTCGTCACATGCTGTCCTTCATCCAAACATAAGGGGAGTCATGGGGGGGGCCTCACCTTTGGGGGCTTAAAAGGGTAATCCGTAGGAAAGTGGATGGTCAGGAAGAAAACACCTCCTTGGTAAGGACTGTCATTCTGGAAGGATGAGACACAGAAAGAGATCAGTGAGCATGCTAAGCACGCAGCGCAAGAAGCAAAACTGGAGTGGTGTGCTCAGCAGCTACTACCTACCGGGCCCATGATGGTGGCCTGCCAGTGGAACACTACAAGACAAAAGAGAGACGGGTACGTAAGAGACCCCTCTAGTAAACATGTCTATTCTTCTGAAAAGGCACTGTTAAGTTTAGAGGGTGCTACCACACAAGACACCTTTACTTATGACACCAACTTCAAGCCGGGGGTTCCCAAAACCACACTCAGATTCAATAACTTGCTGGGACTCTTGGAGCTTCCTGAAAGCTGTTGTACTCATGGTTATGGTGTAGTACGGGGAAACAACACAGATTAACATCAGGAGGAGTCCAAATGCAGAGCTTCTGTTATCCTTTCCCCATGGAGTCAGGAAATGTTACTCTCTTGGCATCAGTGTGTTGACAACACACGCAGAGTACTGTCAACCATGGACACTCACCTGAGCTTCAGTGTTCAGAGTTTTTATTGGGGCTTCACCCTGAGAGTATGACTGATTGACCAAGTGCCTAGAGGGCTGATCTTAGTCTCCATTCTCCAGCCCCTCCAGGCAGACCCAAGCCCTCATCTTAAACCACATGGTCAGTCTATTTGGGACGGGCAGTCCTCACCCTAAATCACATTGCTGGTGTGTGGGTCAAAGCCTTCAGGCAAACAAAGACACTCCTATCAGGTATGACATCTTAGAGATCACTTCCCAAGGATTGAGGATGAAGTCCAGATCTTTTTGGGGGCAAGATTAAATTCTTTACTATACAGGTGCCAGTAACTGTAATTCAGTCCTATCTTTGCACAGAATTAAGCCTTAACTAGGCTTCAGCCATTTTCCCCACTGCTTTTTATAAATCCTTTCTATCCCCTGGTTCTTTTCTTGATTAAGTCTAAAACCCTCTCCAAAAAGTCTCTCTTAGAAGCCAACTGCCCATGGCTCTGGAGTCTCATCAATGCTACCTGCATCTCTGTCCTTTGCCCAGCGCCTGAGCAGTGCCCTGTGCTCTGGGAACTCAATGATAAGGCCACAACGAGCACCTCTCATTCCTCCTTTCTAGGTCCTCACCTTTGGAGGCCAGGCTGGACTCCCTCACCAGTGGTTTAGAGTCTGCTCTTGCTGCACATCACACCTCATATCCCAAAGTAATACATCTTGGGTTACTTTTCCAGCTCTACTCCCCCAAACAGCTCCTGTGCACTCAGCAAAGCTAGCCTAGAGTGGACCACTCACTCACCTTCAAGTGTCCCATCATATGAATGGTCCCAGGGCAACAGACTCCACAGCCTTTGTGGAAAATGCCTACTCACCCTCAGGAGTGGGTTGCTGAGACCATCTGAGGGGCCGGTTATTCTCAAGAGAATTCTATCTTGTATGGATTCCAAATAGGTATGGAATTAGTCCAAGGTTTCAGTCCCAGTCCTGTTCTGATTTTCCTGTCACCTGTTCAAATACCCCACAAACTCTAGCCCTGGCAGCAGGTCCAGGAAAGCACAAAGGCATGGGGTGGGAGCACAAGTGCAGGGACTAAAACAGAAGCTTCCCAAATCCCTAGAGATGGCCAGAGTCAGTCAAGACCACCCAAGAGCCTTTTGCAATATTTCAAAGAAATGCTTTTGAAGAAAACACCTTTACCTGCAATAAGGCTGCCTGGGCTAATGAAAATATCACTTCTTTTGCTTTTGATTGTTTTTATTCCAACTCATACTAATTATTAGTTGGCAAGTAGATATATTCTTGCCTAATAATAACATAGAACAGAATTCCTTATGAAATAAAAGTTTTTCTTTTTTAGAGCCAGGGTCTCACTATGTTGCCCAGGCTATTCTTGAACTCCGGGCCTCAAGTAATCGTCCTACCTCAGCCTCCCCAAGTGTTGGGATTATATGCATAAGCCACTGTGCCTGGCCAAAGGTGTTTTTCATAATGTATTTCAGAATAGCAGGTTAGAATCCTCTGGTCTTGTTGACTTTAACCCCTGAGAGCTACTGGGGCACTGAGCAGAGCTTGAGGGCAGAGTCAGAAGAGAAGGCCCCAAAAGAGAGAAGATGAAAAAGGAAATAGAGGAGGGATGCTGGGAAGGAGCTGTTTGCCCATGGGGCAGGCATGAAATGGCCCCAAAAGGTTGGCTAGCTTCCACGGCTGCCTGAAGCATGTCCACTGACATATAGATTGTAGTGGCCTTGATGCTGGCCTCTCCAACAGTGCCAGCTGCCTCCAGCCTAAGGATGCAGCGTGGATAAGAGAGAGTGGGTGCAAGCTGAGCCACACACTGAGGAGATGCCTCTAGATGGCTAAGGCTGAACTAGAGCAGTTCAATCTGACATTGATCTTCATTTAACTTGATATTGTCTTAGTGACAGGTAAGAGGGGAAACATGCTATGGAGACCTGGGGTGCTTGTGAGGACAATATGAGCAAAACGGTGATTAGTGGGGGAGCAGGTTGACAAGCAGGTGCCAGGAAAGAGTGGAGCACAGTGGCCCTTGTTCATTATGCTCTGCACAAGCAGCTGCACTCATCTCTGCTCTGCTCCACAGTCGAGAGTTAATCTCCCACAAAAACCTTCGAGCCCTCCATTCCCGGTGGCTCCGTCTGCCCACCGTTGGTGCCTCTGAGCCCCAACCCCTCACAGGACATGTAGGCACACAAGTCATACCATCCCCTCCTTTTCTCCAGCTTTCTGAAATTTCTTTCTTTTTTAAATTGTAGTAAAAAAAAATATATATATATATATATATATAAAAAACATAACATAAAATATGCAGTTTAAACTGCCTTAAAGTATACAATTCTGTGGCATTAAATGCATTCACAATATTGTACAACCATCATTATAAACCATGTCTAAAACTCTTCCATCACCTCCAAAATGAAATTCTGTACCCATGAAACAATATTTCCCCCTTCCCTCAGACTCTGGTAACCTCTCATCTACTTTCTGTTTCTATAAATTTGCCTAGTCTAGATATTTCATGTAAATGGAATCCTATAATAATTGTCCTTTTCTTTCTGGCTTATTTCACTGAGCATGTTTCCAAGGTCATCCATGCTGCAGTGTGTGTCAGAACCACATTGTTTATCCACCATCCACTGATGGGCACGTGGGTTGTTACCACCTTCTGACAACTGTGCATAATGGTGTGTGAACATTGGCATACATGTTCTGAATTCCTGTTTTCTTTGGTTCATGTACCTATGACACCACCCTTGGTATCATAGGTATCTCCTATGATATCTTCCCTCTGAGGTATCACCACTCCCACCTACTTTTCCTACAGTTGCAACTACTGCAGCCTCACTCTTAAGGATGAGTATCCCAGAGCCCAAGGAGCCCAGAGTGTAGACTTGAAAACCCTCATGCTGGGAAGCTCAGCCTCTGGCCAATGGTTGTGAGAAGTGGCAGAGGACTGGCACCAGTGCTACTTCTCCCTCTAACTCTCTCCTGAGCAGCTACCAGACCCATTTCTTCAGTTTCCCCCAGGGAAAAGCAGAGATGGGAGAAAAGAATAGATACTGCCCAGGCTTGGTCACTCACACCTATAATCCTAGCACTCTGGGAGGCCAAGGCAGGCAGATTGTTTGAGTTCAGGAGTTCGAGACCAGCCTGAGCAAGGGCAAGACCCCGTCTCTAATAAAAATAGAAAGAAATTAGCTGGGCAACTGAAAATATATAGACAAAATTAGTCGGGTGTGGTGGTGCATGCCTGTAGTCCCAGCTACTCGGGAGGCTGAGCCCAGGAGTTTGAGGTTGCTGTGAGCTAGCTGGCGCCACGGCACTCTAGCCCCAGCAACAGAGTTTGACTCTGTCTCAAAAACAAAAAACAAAAAACAACAAATGAAGGGAAAACAACTGAGTTTCATAAATATTGCTTAGCTGATAAATTTGGGGGTCTTAATTGCAACACTCCTGCAATCTGAAGACCCGAAAAATACTTACAATCATTACCCACAGGTCCCGCAGAACACTGGGCAGGAGGATCCCTCTGCAAGTCGCTTAATTCCTAGAACACAAGACAGTGGGTCAGAGCTGGTATAAACATGGGATGCTGCCTATACACCAATCCTGACACTCAGAATGAATTCTCCTGGTGGGAGGGGGCTCCTAGGCCTCAGGAGGGGGTTGCAGACAAGGCAGGTCATGGGGGCCTACTCCCTGCTGTGAAGATACCAGAGAAGTAGGCATTACCATTTCCATTTTATAAATTAGGCAACTGAAATATAAAGAGATTAAGTTACATATTCAAAGAGCTGGAAGAGGGCAGGTAAAGAGTCAGTCACATGTGGCTCTATCTGCTCTACCCCCAAGCCTAGCCTCCCACCTGCTTAGGTAGAGGACACTCCCACCCAGGTTCTCAGGATATGGGAGAAAAAGAGCCCCAGGAGAGTGCTCTGGGAGAAGGGCAGGTGCCAGGTTTTAGCTCTGGGCTAATACATTAATGCATGGAAGCAATTAGCTCAATTAGTTGCTCAATTAAGGAAAGGGCCCTGGTATTTCCATCTCTCTACCTCCTCTATCACCATCCTAATCCCAAACCCACCACCCATCACTGAGTGTTTGGCATGTCCTAGGGCTTTGTTCTTTTTTTTTTTTTCTTTTCCTTTTCTTTCCACAACAAACTTTGGGGAAGTCCTAGGGCTTTGAACAGGAAGACTAAGGGCCCATGAGCCAATGTCTAACATTGCAGGAATAACACCATAACTAGATTCCCTTTAAGGGACACCAACTCAGCCCACAATCCTTAAAAGTGATCCTGTCCCAGCATGAGCCTTAAGGCCCAAGATTTGGAGCAGTGATGCTCAAACTTTAATATGCATGTATGAGAATGTTTCCTATACAGTATTCCTTCTCCTCCCCAGGTTTCAGATCTCAGTAAACATCTGGGGTCTCCACAGAGGTTCTAACAGGAAGGAAGGAGACACAAATAATGGCACATCATGTGGCAGGGAAACTCCTCAGAAGATGGCAAACCCCAGGGTCCAGGTATGTGTACAAAGTTCACACCTGGCTTATGACATTCCTTCTTACCTGAACTATATCTACCACTGTCCCATCCAGAGACCCTCCTGATCTCAGCGTGTCTCTGGGTATGCTGATCATTCTCGTAAGCCCCTCCTCTCTGGCAATCCTGTACTTATCCGCCTTCTCCCCAAATTTAATCGGCCATGATGGGAGTATTAATACCACAGAAGCTACAAATCAGGCCCATGTTTTCTCCCCCAGGGTTGATTTTTAAATACCTACCAGTACACTACTGGCCAGTTCTCAATTAGCATCTAGTATGTCTGAACCCATTTCCTCACAAGTAAAATGCATTACATTTGGTAAGCACTCAGGAAGCAGCATTATGAATAGTCACAATAGAAGTGAACTTGGGGAACAATTGAGGTTGTGCAAGAGAACCAGAAGACACGCTGGAAATGTAATAGAGCTACAGAAACCTCTGTAGAACAGTTCCTTTCTGCTTACCTCTCCACGCTGTGGCTCTCACTATCACTCTGCAGGGGATTTGGAAAAGCTGGCAGTACAGGCCAATTTCTCTCCAGCTCACAAGGTCTTCCCACACGTCCATGGTTTTGGACCCACTGTACCTAGAATCCAGTATCCATATCCCTCCTTTTAAGGGCTGTGATGAACAGTTACTTATGATACCTTAATGATTCCCAAAAAGCCAGAAGCAGGTCCCTCTTGATAGACACCAACCAGCCCCAGGAGTTTCAAATGCTATGTGGCACTTCCAGGAAGAATAATGTGACTTGAAAGAAATTAGTCCACTCAGGGTGGGCGAGGTGGCTCATGCCTATAATCCTAGCACTCTGGGAGGCTTGAGACAGAAGGATTGCTTGAGCTCAGGAGTTTGAGACCCGCCTGAGAAAGGGCAAGATCCTGCGTCTACTAAAACTACAAAAATTAGCCAAACGTTGTGGTACAAGCCTGTAGTCCCAGTAGCCTGGGAGGCTGACACAAGAGGATTGCTTGAGCCCAGGAATTTAAGGTTGCTGTGAGCTATGATGATGCCACTGCACTCTACTCAGGACAACAGAGTGAGACTCTATCTCAAACAAACAAGAAACTCATCCATTCAAAACACTGCATTCCTGTGCTCACCTAACAGGGCTAGAAGACTCAGGTCTGAGCTCCAGCTCCATCACCGGGAAAATCACTTTCACCTCTTTGGGCTCAGTGTAATTACCTGTTAAGTTGTAATTATACTTGCCTGCCAACTTGCCAGCACTGTTATGTGGTTGTAAATTTTCCCAATATTGGACGGGTGCAGTGGCTCATGCCTGTAATCCTAGACTCTGGGAGGCCAAGCCGGGTGGATCACTCCAGGTCTGGAGTTCGAGATCAGCCTGAGCAAGAGTGAGACCCTGTCTCTACTAAAAATAGAAAGAAATTAGCAGAACAACTAAAAATATATAGAAAAAATTAGCTGGGCATGGTGGTGCATACCTGTAGTCCCAGCTACTCAGGAGGCTGAGGCAAGAGGATCGCTTGAGCCAAGGAGTTTGAGGTTGCTGTGAGCTAGGCTGACGGCTGACGCCATGGCACTCTAGCCTGGGCAACAGAGTGAGACTCTATCTCAAAAAAAAAAAAAAAATAAAAAAAAATATATATATTATATATAAGGCAGGCATGCACCACCATGTCTGGCTAATTTTTCCTACTTTTGGTAGGGATGGGGTCTTGCTCTTGCTCAGGCTGGTTTCCAACAGCTGAGCTCAAACAATCCACCCGCCTTGGCCTCCCAGAGTGCTAGGATTAGAAGCCTGAGCCACTGCGCCCGCCCTACCATTAGTATTATTAAAAGGGGGAGGAAAAAGGGGTACAATGAATATATATATTTGTATATTTCTGGAAGAATACTTAATAAGCTAATAACACTGGTTAGTCCCAAGGAGGGGAATCAGGGCTGATGACAGGTTTGGGTGGGACACTTTTTCCTGTACGTCCTTTGTACATTTTGTATTTTGAACCATGGGAATATATTACCTAATCAATAAATATATAAATACTTTATTAATTGTAAAAGACTATGTAGGTTAAGGTTGTATAATAATTATTTTTACAAATAACAATGATAAAAGGGTCCTGAAAAAGGGAAAGGAGGTTCAAGTATCAAGTATTAATAGAGAAAGAGAATTAAGCAAACCATGATATACACTCAGTTCTTTTGTTTCTTCAAATCCAAGACACCATCCTTTGTAAGACACAACTTTATATACAATTAAGAAAGAAAACATACAATTAAACTAACACTAAATGCTTTCTTTACACCTAAACTTTAATTTTTTTTTTTTTTTTTTTTGAGACAGAGTCTCGCTTTGTTGCCCAGGCTAGAGTGAGTGCAGTGGCGTCAGCCTAGCTCACAGCAACCTCAAACTCCTGGGCTCAAGCAATCCTTCTGCCTCAGCCTCCCAAGTAGCTAGGACTATAGGCATGCGCCACCATGCCCGGCTCATTTTTTCTATATATATTAGTTGGCCAATTAATTTCTTTCTATTTATAGTAGAGACAGGGTCTCGCTCTTGCTCAGGCTGGTTTCGAACTCCTGACCTCAAGCAATCCGCCCGCCTCGGCCTCCCAGAGAGCTAGGATTACACGTGAGCCACCGCGCCGGCCTAAACTTATATTTTTTAAAATTTATTTTATTTTATTTTTTAAAAGCCAAATTTAAGCAGTGAGGGTTGAAATATCAACTTTAGTGACACTAATGTTAATAAGTTCTGATAACCCACTACCATTGGACAGCCTAAACTATTAATTTTATTTAAATTATTCTCAAAGAAGTCCTTTTAGGCTTATTTAAACAAAGGTTTTGGGCCCTGTTTTTTTTAAAATCAGTATCATTCACATACAAAAAAAAACCAGCCTTTCTGCCTGAGTACGCTCCTGAGGAAGCATTGTTAAGTCTCTCTTCTCAATGCCTCATGTCTAAGTCAGAGTCTCCTAAAGAACTCCATAGCTCGGAAGCTATTCATGGGGTGGGGGGCTGGGGGTTAACTTTGAAACTATGACAGATGAGAGTCTAAGGAGCCATTTTGAGCAATGCGGAACGCTCATGGACTGTGCGGTAATGAGAGATCCAAACACCAAGCGCTCAGGGCTTGGGTTTGTCACATATGGTTTGTCACTGTGGAGGAGGTGGATGCAGCAATGAATGCATGCACACAACGGTCATGGAAGAGTTGTGGATCCAAGAGAGCTTCTCCAGAGAAGAGTCTCAAATACCAGGCTGCTCACTTACTGTGAAAAGATTTTGTTGGTGGCATTAAAGAAGATACTGAAGAACATCACCTAAGAGACTTTTTGAACAGCATGGAAAGTGAAGTGCTGAATCATGACTGACAGAGGCATGGCAAGAAGAGGCACTTTTCTTTTATAACCTTTGATGACCATGATTCTGGGATAAGACTGTCATTCAAAAAACACCATACTGTGAATGGCACGCACTGGAAAGTAAGAAAAGCCCTGTCGAAGCAGAGATGGCTAGTGCTTCACTCCAGCCAAGAGTTGAAGTGTTCTGGAACTTTGGTAGAGATCATAAAGGTGGTTTTGGGAATGACAACTTGCCATGGAGGAAACTTCAGTGGTCAGGTGCTTTGGTGGCAGCCTGGTGGTGGTGATATGGTGGCAGTGAGACAGGGTACAATGGATCGGTAATTATGAAACAGCTTTGAGTGGTGAAGCTAAAAATGATTTTGGCAATTACAACAATCAGTCTTCCGATTTGGACCCATGAAGGGAGGAAATTTTGGAGGCAGAAGCTCTGGCCCCTGTGGTGGTGGAAGGCCAATACTATGCCAAACCACGAAACCAAGGTGCTACGTGGGGTTTCAGTAGTAGCAGTAGCTATGGCAGTGGCAGAAGGTTTTAATTACTGCCAGGAAACAAAGCTTAGCAGAAGAGGAGAGCCAGAGAAGTCAGCGGAAGCTACAGGTTACAACAGATTGTGAACTCAGCCAAGCACAGTGGTGGCAGGGCCTAGCTGCTATATAAGAAGACATGTTTTAGACAATACTCATGTGTATGGGCAAAAAACTTGAGGACTGTATTTGTGACTGACTGTGTAACAGGTTATTTTAGTTTCTGTCCTGTAGAAAGTGTAAAGTATTCCAATGAAGGGTTTTAATGTAGATTTTTTTTTTTGCACCCATGCTATTGATTGCTAAATGTAATAGTCTGATCATGATGCTGAATAAACGTGTCTTTTTTTTTTTTTTTTTTTTGAGACAGAATCTCACTTTGTTGCCCGGCTAGAATGCCATGGTGTCAGCCTAGCTCACAGCAACTCCCAATTCCTGGGCTCAAGCAATCCTTCTGCCTCAACCTCTCGAGTAGCTGGACTACAGGCAAATGCCACCATGCCCAGCTACTTTTTTCTATATATTTAGTTTAGCCAAATATGATTATTTTAGTAGAGATGGGGTCTCGCTTGCTCAGGCTGGTTTCAAACTCCTGACCTTGAGCGATCCACCCACCTCGGCCTCCCAGAGTGCTAGGATTACAGGCGTGAGCCACCATTCCTGGTCTTTTTTTTTTTTTTTTTTTAATGTGCTGTGTAAAGTTAGTCTACTTTGAAGCCATTTTGATAAATTTTCCCTTAAGTGTGAAGATAGAATTCCTTCAGGGAGATGCCAGCTTCTATTTGAACTTCATTTACAACCTGCTTGGGTGGAGAAGCTATTGTTTTCAGAAACCTTGGTGTAATTGAACTGACGGTTATTGTTGTGACCTGAAGTTCACCATTAAAAGGGGTCATCCAAGAAAAATCATGGAATTATTGGTTATAAAGACGATTGTTGGCATATTCTATGCAATATACCTAAATTGAATAATGGCACCGGATAAAATTATAGCTAGGAATGAAGTTTGTGTATCAACCATTATCATGTGTAAACAATAAGTAATTTAATTCTTTTTTAAAAAAAGGAAAAACAAGTGAAATAAATAGATTTTTTTGATTAAAACTTTGATTAAAACTGATTTTTTTGATTAAAACTTCCCATTCAGAGCCCTATTACACTGAGTAATTGATGTCCACACAATATCATCCTCTGTGCCTTCCAAAGCAATGGTGATGAAGTAATTCTTAGAGTCCTCCACTACTGTTTCTGGAGTTTTCTTTCAAGCCATTGATACTCATTCTACAAAATCCCGTGATATAATCTCTTTGCACACATGCCAGCCTGAAAAAGTGACCTAGCCTCACCAACTTGAGGGTAGGTGGTTCCCTACTTTCTTGGGTCTATGAAGCATTTGGTTACTTGACATGGAAATAGGAAATTGCAGTCTTTTCTCCAACAACAAATATTTGCTCCACCAATATGAAATTTACTCTCTATTGTTCTGTTTCTGTGCCTATGTTCACAGATGCTTTTCTTTTCAATGCTAAATCACAGAATGTTTTTGAAGATTTTTTTTACTTTTTTTTGAAGGGGTGGGGGTTTGTGAGGAGGAGTGTTCAGTTGTCTTGGTTTTTTTTGTTGTTGTTGAGACAGAGTTTCCCTTTGTCACCCTGGGCAGATTGCAGTGGCATCATTGTAGTTCACTGCAACATCCAATTTCTGGGCTCTAAGCAATCTTTCTGCCTCAGCCTCCAGCACAGCTGGGACCACAGGTATGCACCACAATGCCTGGCTAGATTTTTTTTCTTTTTTTGGTAGAGATAGGGTCTTACTCCTGCTCAGGCTAGTCTCCTTTGTATGAAGACTACAAATTTTGGAAAACTTTTGTAAAATTTTGTATTGAATATTTTGTAAATAAAGGTACATTTTCCACTTGGCCAGCCTTAAAAAAAAAAAAGGTACATTTAGCTACAATTTCCCTTCTTCTCTACATATGTCAACTTTTGGGACACCCTGTAGTAGTACCAACAATTTGTTTACCTCAATATGAACTGCCATGACCCAGTTCACACATATAATGACAAGTAAGTGACAACTGCTGTCTGACAGTGACTGTAAGAAGCATCCCAATTTCAGAGAAGTGAAAATCTGAAAACATATTCATCTTCAAGTAGATGCAATATGGTATTAGCTGTATTTTCCTGATTTTCCAAGTCCTGTCTAAAGAGCAATTACTACATTTATAATCAAAAGTTAACTTTTTTGAAAAACTAAATCAAGTATTATATAATCATTGAAAATTATAGTTTCTAAAGACTACAGAATAATAGGAGAAAATGCCATGATACAACATTAAGGGAAAAGAGGGGAGGGGAGGCAGAGTATAAAATTTGATGTAACTACATTACTATAATAATCAGAAATACATGCATATTAGATATGGAAATGAAATTCACCAAATGTTAACCACAATTACATGATAGGACTATAAATGACTTTAAAAACTGCCTTTTTTGTTATTTCCCAAATTTTCTTTAAAGTATGTGTGTTGCAAAATATATGTATTAAATATGTATCAAATAGCAAATAATAATTAACATAAATATAAATGAAATGCTACCATATAAAACCCTGTCCCTACTAAGAACATTTAGAAATGTTACATTAACATATGTTCAGATTTTTAAAATGTGTATTCTGGCTTAAAGGAAATATTTGATTAATAAAGTGAAAAGTTCATCTAAAAACAATCAACTCCTTTGAAAAATTTTTAAGAAAAGGGATGAAGTTGGTTGGCAAGGGCTGTAGGTTAGAAGCTAAGGGGGTAGCTAGTAGCTGCCATACCCCTGGCTCAGCCCAGCATACTGCTGGCTACCTGCTCAGCACCCACCTCACTTCCTCCTTTCTGAAGAACTCCTATTCAGTTACAAAATTTGCGGGGCCCTATGCAAAATTAGTTCAATAAGAATTTCATGATAGTGACAGCAAAACATAAAACCAACCGTGGGGCCCTTCTAAGCATGAGGCCCTGTGAGAGTGAATGTGTCACACACCCATGAAGTGGGTGTGTGACACATTCAGTGGTTTCCTTTTCTCCTTGATTCCTATCAAGGAAAGTTCTCCCTGGCCTCATGACTTCAATTACCTTGGATCTCTAGTTACCACCTCATCCTTAAGGTCCAAACTTGTTTTTCCGAGTCCTTCCTTTTATAAATCTTATCAGCCTACACAGGTAGGTTAAAACCTACACTCCTTATTTCCCTACTCTGCTCCCTGCCTTCAAAACTTCTAACTCCCACCCTAAAAAATGACACCACCATCCAGCCAGTAACCCACCTTGTGAACCTCTTTGTCTAACTTTCACCACTTCCTCTCCTTAAGTCCTGTCAATTCCTCTGCCACCATGTGGTCTAAGCACTCCTCTGGCCTGCTATCCATTCCATAGTCATTAACTTGGGCAAAGCCTTTGCTGGACTTTCACAATAGCCTCTACTGTCCCTCTGCCCCACTTTAGTCAGAAGGATCTTTTTATAACACATACCTCAGCATGTCATTCACCTGCTTCAAAGTCCCAGGATGACAGATGACCCTTTTAGAGAATAATTTGTCAAAATTCTCTCTTTTGGATGCCTATTTATATAAAAAATGAGTCATACTCTCAGAGATGCTGTAATTCCACCTCTAACAAAACTAATCATTTGAATTAAGGAAAAGGCTCATTGTACAATGATGTTCATCATAGCACATACTTAATGGAGAATTTGGAATAATAATGGGAGTTAACTCATATCCAATGCTTGGTATATGCTAAGCATGTGCTAAACACGAATCATCTCATTTAATTCTCAAAACAATTCTGTAAACAAATAGGACAGGGAGGCTAGGAGTAATTAAGTGCCCAGCCTGAGGTCCCATTGTCTGACACCCAACTCCATTCTTTCAATCATTACAGGTAATGACTAAATAAGTTATTTATCACATACTTGTGAAAAGCTAATCTTAAAAATTAGAGTTACAAATATTCACAAAAGAAAATGGTTAGGTTTAATGTTATGTGAAAAAATGGGATACAAAATACAGTATGATTTTTTTTACATATGGGAAAAAGACTGGAAGTAGATATACTAAAATATTAACGAACAGTGAAGTGGTAGAATTAGAAATACTTTCTCTTCTCCTGCTGTCGTGCATTTCCCAAATTCTAGTTAATACATTAAGCCTCCATAAAGACTCCCTGTTACCCGCAGGATAAAACCCAGTTATTCTAGCACTGTCCTTAAGGGCTATGCCAGTCCCGAAACCACCACCCCGCCCCACGCCCCCAAGCCGAGCCTCGTGGACTCCCTGTTGCCACGAAGGCCCTTTTCCCTTTTCTGCACCTGCGGAATTCCTATTCAACCCTTAAGACCCAGCTCCATCCTCAACCCCTCTGAGCAGCCGTTCTGGAACCCCCACAAGAGCTGACCATCTTGCTCTGTTAAGTCCGCAGAGGCGGTCGCCCAGGAGCCTGCAGGTGACCTGCCCGCGGCCCCGCCCGCGTGACGCACTCTACGTGACCCCGGCCCCGCCCCGCGCTCGCGCCGCTGCTTTCTCAGGTTGCGCCGGCGGCGGTACCGCCTTCCTTCTTAGCAGTCTCCGCGGCACTTTGTTCGCCGTTCACTTCACGGCATCGTCGCCCCGCCCGCGCCTCGACGCTTTAGACGCTCAAAGACTTGGAAGATGCGAGCGGTGCGAGAGTGCTTACCTTCTGGATCCGCTTCAGCGCCATCCTACCCCCGCTGCCGGGGACCGGACAGCCCGGTCAGGGCTGCCTGAGGCGGCCCAGTGCCGGGTTGGCTGCCTCCGCGCTGCACGCCGGGAACCGCCGCCTGCGCGTGCGCGCCGCGGGGGACTGTGGGGCCGTCGTTGTCGCTTGCCGAGCGTCACGGTGTGGCCGCGGCTGGGAGCCCCGGCGTCCTGCCTCGGGTCGCTTACGCTGGCCGCCCGCATCTGGTCCTGCGGCTTCGACCTCTCCTTAGCGAGGGCCTGGAGAGGCCCGCGGAGAGAAGGGCCTGGTTGGTTCCACAGTGACCCGCTGAGCACCTGCAAGGTGCCACAGGCAATGCTTCTTGTCCCCACCTTCTGGACACCTTCCCAGGTTGTCACATAACTCATGAGAATAGTGGTTTTCAACTCTGTAAGTATACATAACCTTTTGTGCATTATGGTAGGATGTGTTACAGCTATTTCTATTTAGACGTATGTACATACACACATAACCATATGCAGTTATGGAGATCTGCATGTTTAATAGTACTTCAGGTGATTTTGATGCACTGCCAAGGTTGAAAACCACGGCCTTAAACCTTATTTATCCCAAACTTAATTCTCTGTCTCCTTCCCCTTTTCCCAAGACCCAGTAGGGAGTTTTTCAAAATGGGTTATGAATAAATTAGTGTGTCATGAAATTAGTTTAATGGGTTGCAACCAACATTTTAAAAAAGTGAAATAGAAAAATGTGTATCAGTGCGTTTCACATAGGAAAGGTAGGAATTGCAAAAGCTTCATTGGTGTGTGTTTGTAGATGGTATTTATTCTCCAGACAAACACAAGCGTGACGGGTTGCTAACATAATTACTCTGGGACCAAAGATGTAATCTGGGGTTGTTTCTGGCCTTCCAGGACACATAGTCACATATATATTTGTACTCAGTGAGGATATAAAATGTATTACAGACATTTTGATGGTTTCCTAGCCGTGCCCTGGCTTCTGTTCTCCCATTCTCCCAATGTGTTATCCACACAACTTCACAGACTCTCTCTGAAATGTGAATCTTGCCATGCTGGGTCTTTGCTCAGAACTTTTCAAGAAAGCCTATGACCTACAGGGTTACGTTAGCTGTCATAGAAGGCCTTTAAAAATCCAGTATCCTCCATCCTTACCTCTTCCTCCCCAACCTCCAGCCCAGCTGACTATCCAGGGTTTCCATCAGTGCACCATCTACATGCCTTTACTCTTGCCTGTCTTCTGTCTGGAAAGCTCCCTCTTTTTTCCCCCTAAAGCAGAGCAATCACTAACTTTCCAAAGCCAGCTCAAGCATCACCCCATGAATGGCCCAAATCAGGCACCTTCCCTTGGTGTCACATCTTTATAACACAAATTCGTATTAGTCCATGGGTCATCCATCTCCCCACAATGTTTACATGGCCCTCCCTCCCCGTAAAACAAGGTGATCCCATACTTTTGTAAATGTTTATATATTTGTGTAAGAATACAAACCTCAGTGATAATGATGGTTATCTTTGGATGGTAGGTTTACTAATGATGTTAATTTCTAAAATTTCTGCAGAGAATTTCCATCATTTTAGCCTTAAAAAGGAAGGAAATTCTGACATATTCTACAATGTGAATGAACCTTGAGGACATTAAGCTAAGTAAAATAAGCCAGTCACAAAAGACAAATACTGTATGATTCCACTTATATGAAATTCTTTTATTTTTATTTTTCTCGCTGTGTTGCCTGGGCTAGAATGCTATGGCATCAGCCTAGCTCATAGCAACCTTAAACTCCTGGGCTCAAGCAATCCTCCTGCCTCAGCCTCCTGAGTAGCTGGGGCTATAGACGTGTGCTACCATGCCTGGCTAATTTTTTCTATTTTTAGTAGAGACTGGGTCTCACTCCTGCTCAGGCTGGTGTCAACCTCCTGAGCTCAAGCAATCCTCCTACCTCAGCCTCCCAGAGTGCCAGGATGAGAGGTGTGAGCCATCACGCCCAGCCATGAGACTCTTAACAGTAGTCAAAATCATAGAGACAGGCCAGGCGCGATGTCAAGCCTGTAATCTTAGTACTTTGGGAGGCCCAGGTGGGAATATTGCTTGAAGCCAGGAGTTTTAGACCAGCCTGGAAAACATGGCATTTCTAAGAAGTAAGGAAAAAGACAGACATGGTGGCACACACGTGTAGTCCCAGCTACCTGGGAGGCTGAGGCAGGAAGATGGCTTGAGCCTGGGAGTTTGATGCTGCAATGAACTATGATCGTGCCACTGTACTCCAGTCTGGGTCACAGACCAAGACCTGTCTCTTAAAAGAAAATCATAGAGACAGAAAGCAGAATGGTGTTGCCAGGAGCTGGGTGGAGGAGGAATGTGGAATTATTATTTAGTTGGTACAGAGTTTCGGCTTTGCAAGATGGAGAGAGTGCTGGAGATGGATTGTGGTAAGGTTTGAACAACAATATGAGTGTAATTAATACCACTGAACTGTATACTTTAAATTGGTAAATCATGTGTATTTTACCTCAATAGAAAAAAATGACAAAGTAATTTAATCCATAAACATCTTCTCCTCTGGTAACATTTGCTAATCATAGCCAATTTAAAGTTTCATTTGCACAACAGAGGATATAGTTGCTTTAAAAAAAAGAAAAGAGTTTCTTTTGACAGCCTTGTAATTGGCTCAAAAATCAAAATCTAGTACTTGTACAAAATCCAAGACTTATACTAGAGTCTAAATACATTTGGATCCTATGGCCTTAGGGTAAGTAGGAACCTGAAGTAACTTCTAATTTTCAGCCCAGTTTTATCTTGCTCAATTGTCTGGGGAACCTCAAACCTTGAATTTGGTTGCGATAATCCTAGATTGCTGATATTGCAGGTGCTTTGCAGAAAAAAACCAAAGAGATTCTCTGAAGGAAGGTATCCTCATCCAAGGACTCAAATTATTTCTCCAAATAATTTTTCAAGTATAATAACCAGCATTATTGTAAGGACCAGGAAAAACAAAAGACATTGGAAACAGACATACAAAGACTTAAGGCCGGGCGCAGTGGCTCATGCCTGTAATCCTAGCACTCTGGGAAGCTGAGGCAGGGCCGGATTGCTTTCAAGGTTCAAGGAATTTCGGAAAAAGCCCTGAAGCAAGAAAATCGAGAACCCGCCCTCTAACAAAAAATAAAAAGAAATTATTGGCCACAATTATATAATGAAAATTAGCAGAAATGGTGGGGGCGCCAATGGCCCTGGTAGTTCCCAGCTACTTTTTGGGAGGCCTGAGGCGAAGGATTGATTGAATCCCAGGAGTTTTTGAGGTTTGCATATGACCTTAGATTGACACCACGGCAAACTCTAGCCCCAGGCAAACAGAGTGGAAAACCCTGTTCTTCAAAAAAAAAAAAAAGGATAGAATGATTACATTGGAGATAATAACTGAAAATCATCCCTTGAATGCTTTAAGGAAAAAGAACCTACTTTGGGGTCCAATGATTGTGTTTAATTCTTAATGTAAATTGCTACATTCCACTTAAGGAATTACTTGCCATTTAAAGCTCACGAGACTGGTTCACAGTTTTCATTGATTGTACTACTTTTGCCTGATTTCAGAATTAGAGATATTAGTGCTTTTATCTGAAAATATGGTCTTTCCCAAAATTCCAATGTGTTTTTAGAGAAACAATCCCCATCAACAGTGTTTGGGAGCTTGGGCCTAATGGGAAGGGTGGTTTAAGTATGGAAGGTTTCCTGCCCTAAATGAAATGGGATTGAATGCCCACCATAAAAAAAGGCTTTGTGGAAGTGGGGGGTTTTTCATATCCTTTTTTTTTGCTTGTTCCTGCCATGTGAGGACACAGCATTAATCCTTTGCCCATTGCCCTCTTTTGCCATGTGAAGGAACCCGCAGCAGAAAGTCCTCACAGACCACCAAGATTGTTTTGCAACCTTTGAAATCTTGGGACTTCCACCTCGAGACTGTGAGAAATTAAAAGGTTCAATTTGGTTTTTATAAATTATCCAGCTTGGTGGTAAAATTTCCCTATTATAGCAGCACAAATGGACTAAGACACATGCCATCAGAGAGTAATTAGGAAGATTCCAATTATTTTTCCCTGTTTCCCGTTTTGTCTTTTTCTTGTTTCATATAAATGTAAGTGGAATGCTCCTTCAATGATAAAAGTTAAGGTGTAGTTTTAAGATGGTTAAATCCCCTTCTAAAAGTGGGTTGCTGGTTGTGGTTTGGGCTTTACACCTTGTAAATCCTAGCACTCTGGGAAGTCCGAAGGGTGGGGGCGGATTTGCCCCTCAAGGGTTCAAAGAAGTTCGAAAACCAGCCCCGGAAGCAAGAGTGGACCCCATTCTCTTACTATAAATAGAAAGAAAATTAAAATTGGCCCAACTAATATATATAGAAAAAATTAAGCCGGCCCATGGTGGGGCGCATGGCCTGTAAAAGTCCAGCTAACTCGGGAAGGCTGAGCAGGAGGAAACGATTGGAAGGCCCAGAAAATTTTGAGGTTGCCTTGTGGAAAAGGCTTTTGAACCCTTTGGCACTTCCAACTCTTAGCCTGGGCAACAAAGTGAGACTCTGTCTCAACAACAACAAAAAAAGTGTTGAGCTGGTAAAATTTTTAGTATTTTCAAATTATTCTATGGTCATTGGTCTATTTAGTTCTCTTTTTTCAAACAATTTTGTTTATTTTTAAAATTTTTTTTGTTTTTCTCAGCATGATCAATTAAGAACAATGTTGTTAATTTATGTTACCCTAAAAATAATCCATTTTTTTTCTCTTTGTCACCTGGGCTAGAGTTCTGTAGTGTCAGCCTAGCTCACAGCAACCTCAAACTCCTGGGCTCAAGCGATCCTCCTGCCTCAGCCTCCTGAGTAGCTGGGACTACAGGCACATGCCAGGACTCCTGGCTCATTTTTCTATTTTTAGTAGAGACGGGGTCTCACTGTTGCTCAGTTTGGTTTTAAACTCCTGACCTCAAGTCATCCTCCTGCCTCTGCCTCCCAGAGTGCTAGATTACAGGTGTGAGCCACCGTGCCCAACCTGTTTTTTATATGTGTTGAGAT